ATTCGGGGGAAGACTGTAGTCTGCGGACTATTGTGCCTGTCTCTTATACACATCTAGATGTGTATAAGAGACAGGTCGATGGTCGTGGAACGAGCGTTCTACTAAATGTTTGCAGACAGAGGTTGCGCTTACCTGGTTGTAAGGGTCGGTTTTCTTTTTTGAGAAATATCATGGTTGGCTGACCTACTCATCTCATTTATGTGCCTTGTGAGTTGAATGATCTTCCTCCGAGCATAACGCACCTCGATATCGATACCAATAATGAACGGATACAAGCTATGTTTCATTTCACATGCAGCAAAAATGAGGGTGTAGTCGACGAACGATTCAAGTCTGGGTTGAGGTTGTAAGGTGACCGGTCTTAGGCAAGGACCGGTTTCTGCTTGGCATGGAGGTTCGTGCTCTTTGCATGGAGGTTCTGTGCTTCGTAACTATGCTTGCTTTTCTTTGCTGTTTGGAGACATGTTCTTGAGAAATGGATTTGATAGGTAGGTGTATAGCGGTTTCTGCAGTGGCCGCCAACCATGTTTCCTTTCCCCCTCCCCCTGCCCTCTCTCCTATTTGCCCCTCCTCCCCCGTTAGTCAAACCCCATTCAGTCATGTGGGATGTTCTTAGTAAGGCACAACAATCACCAAACAAAGGGAAGACATGGGGTCAAATGAATGGTCTGCCTACGCCTCAGGGCCAGGGAGAAACGAAGACATACGAAGGAAGAAGGACAGGGGAAAGGGAACAACAGACTAATAAATACCGAACAGAGGGGGTTATGGGACCAAAGGGGTTCACGACGTAGACAGTTTATCAGATAAGGGGGCGCCACAAAAACCATTCACTACCTTAACTAAGGAGGGAACTGATTGTTGAAGCTTGAAACTCAAGAGTTCTAAGTACTATGGGGTATTTCCCAGCGAACAATGTAATAGAAGGCTCGCAACTGTCTCTCTCACTATTTCATGCTCTATAAAATGTATGATGGGACGCTGGACCCGCTTTCCTCGCAGGCCATGCCGATTTCCTTTTTTTTTTCTTAAAAAAAAAAATCATTTTCTTCTTCATAGCATCATTCACAATTCAATGTTGGCTTGCCATTCCTTGGGTTCATTTTTTTTCCTTTTTTTTTCCTTGTTCGTTTTGTTCTTGTTCTTTGGAGGTGTTATGAAGCAATGGGTTTGGACTGGATTTGAACTTTGGTCTGTAACCGAAGACCGTACCTCAGCACGTATAGCAATGTGAAATGTTGAAATACTGACCCATGTTCAAATCTAGATAATGCAAAAACTCATGACTGACCTGCTATAAAACAACACATTACAACACTCAAAACTTCATCCCCGCTACAACCCCTCTGCCCTGGCTGCACCCCCGCGCTCCGTGCGGTTACAATATTTTTCAATATGGCCACAGTGTGGCTATGAGATGTTCAGATCGGATGCAGGAACTGGTGCGTACTCGATACCAAGTGTAACCCCCCTCTAGTGGGGCTTATCCCCTACCCGTCTTCCCCCGAGCATAACGCACCCTCATTTTGGCGGTAGCTGACCGAAAATATAGCTTGTATACATTCATTATCAGGGTGCGTTATGCTCGGGCGACGGAAAATGGTAATCTGAGTATGCCGGTTGTGTAGGTGGAATCACAAACAAAATGCCATCCTTCAATTGAATTACCGTGAGGGCATGGGTGCGCAGCCCGTAGTTCGTTTGTTGATGTGGTTCGGGAAGGATAAGGTTGTTCGCAGCCCTTAGGCTGCGGTATAGTGGGCTTCCGCGTCTGTGTCAAGGTGTCGCATTTTTAGCGGCAGGCGACCAAGACGCAAAGTGGATTCTTAGGGGGCAAAAAAAATTGGGGGACCGGTCCTTGCCAAAATTGCGGACTACCTACAACTAGCTTTGGTAGAACCGGGACTTTTGGAAAAACGAAGGACCGGTCCTCGGGTGGAAGTGGACCCCCAAAAGAAGCGGGGGGCATTGGACCGGTCCTCGGGTAGAAGCAGACCCCCCAAAAAAGTGAGGGCATGTGAACTGCAAAAAGGCCCTCAGGCCCAGGCGTTGAGCCCCATCTTCTCAAAACAGGGAGGTCAGGCACAACGAAACAGGCGTTTTGCAAGAGACAACTTTGACGATTTTCTGTGTTTGGACGAAAATGCACAAAAATCTGAAATTTTGAGAATCCATAGATGAGGTCGTGTTATTTCCAGAAATAATAATAGAACATTTAAAAAAATCATTTACACTGCGAAATAATCGTCGCGCCGATTCGGCACATTTTCCATTTTTGCCACTCAGCCATGCTTGGGCCAACTAAAAAAGTACTCCAAATTCAGTGAGTTTTCACGCTAAGAAGAATGAGTGAAAAAACCTGAAAATTGGACTACTCGTAGATTTTGTTGTGATCTTTCCAGGAAAAACGCTAAATAAATTTAGAAAAATTATTCCAACTGCAAAATAGATCGTGGCCGCAATTTGGCCCATATTTCAATTTTGCCATTCAGTCTCTCTCTCTCTCTCTCACTCTCTCTCTCTCTCTCTCTCTCTCTCT